CAGAATAAAGGATAAGGATTTATCCCAGTAAGAAACAATTAAGCTAGGAATAGAATAGAAATTTGTGTGTCTGTGTGTGTGGTGTGTGTGGGGGTCAGTGGTGGTGAGGGCGGGGGAGGATGTTAACTAAAAGTTAGAGGTTTCTTTTAATATCGATGTTTTTACTCAACATATATTCTAAGAATAAGTTTTTCGGTGACTCTTAAGACGGTTTGAGATAGGAATTGTGCATTTTATTGCTCTATTTTAATATAGTGATAAAATATTGGATTTTATAGATTAAATGTTAATTTTCTTTTGCTTAAGTTGTTTATCAGAAAACTTTCAGAAGTGTTTGATATAAAAATATCTTAGCTAAATATAAAGTTGATAAAAATGATTGAGTACCATGTAAACACTTATAAATCTTATAGTTCTGATGTAAATAGCACAGTGAGATTACTGGGATACTTTGGGTGAATGGCATTGAACAATGTAATTTTTTTTTTTTGTTATTCAGAGGGAGAGAGTGATAGAGTGTAAAATTTTAGTCCTGAATGCAACCTACCCAATACTTACTTAGATTCCTTCCTTCCTTCCTTCCTTCCTTCCTTCCTTCCTTCCTTCCTTCTCTTTCTTTCTTTCTTTCTTTCTTTCTTTCTTTCTTTCTTTCTTTCTTTCTTTCTTTCTTTCTTGTGTGTTACTTTCTTCTGTGTGTCACACTATCAGTGTAAACATCCATCATCAACATACAACATATCAAGTACAATTGAGCTGAAAGTCCCTCATCATCACCCTTGAGTATCATGCAATTCTGAACAGCTTCCACTAACTCAAAAAGTAATATTGTTGGAAATAGCTCATGCCGAGTTTTCATATGCCTTTTTATCCAACAAATGTGGCTGTGATTAAGTATTCGCAAGCAAGGAGTCACGTAATGAAAAAAATTTACATACATATGAAACAAGCATACTGATTCCCAAGCATGAAACAAAGCATATCATCTGTTTCTTTGTAACAAGCCTTGTTTTTTAATAATCAAGATACCAAATAGTGGTTTGAAGTGTAGGTTTGTTCATAAACATATCTTCTATCCAATTTTAACTTGCTTGTAAAATGCTTCATTGTTTTTGAAAGGGTTGCAAAGATCTCTGCAAACTTTATATTAATCTCAAGAGACATTCCAACTGGGAAAATATTAAGTTGCTTCTAATTTTATTTTTCCCAGAGGCATGTTAAAGCTTTGTTCAATCATTTTTGGAGTGGGTTTTTAAAAATAAATTTCCCCTTCCAATGATAATGTGTTTACTGATAACAATAAAATATTTTATAAATAGGATAGTATTTTGGGAAAAGAATTAGCCCACCATTTACATATGTGCATGCATACCTAGAATATTTTATAAAGTTAAGTTGGCTATTTTTTCATGCAAATGACATGTTTTCTCTGTACTTTTGACATCCTAATAGGGTATTTTAATGAGGGAAACTCTTTAGTTTTGGCATACACCTGTGGGTTGAGCTCAGCAAATCTCAGAATGGGATGCTCGCCCAATTGGAAGATGGAAGTTAGATGGAGAATGAAGGGTTTGGTATCAAAGGGTTTGGTTTATGAGAGCGATCACAAGACTGGAGATGTCAATGCTAAACTATATACCATAAGAAGCCTCTATGAGCTTCTTCTGTGCATTTTAAGATAAACAATATCAGCATTTATTGTTAGGGTATGCAAGTGATATTTTCAATCAGTGATTTTTCTTTTAGGTAAATAAAGCTCTCTTTTTATGGTATGCACAATTTTTTTCTTCTCATTAGCAACCCTTTTTCTTGTGTCAAGTCAAGAAAATATTTCAATTACATATTTGCCTTACTGCCATTGAGGTTGACTTCAAGTGATGTTTTCTGATTGAGATTGTGACCAAACTTTCATTTAATTACAAGTCTGTCAGGTCTGAACAGTTGAAGGATACTGTGCACTCCCATCTTCGCACCTTAACAAAAACCAAACAAAACAAAACATTGCTTTAGGACCAGAGTGATAGTACAGCACGTAGAGTGCTTGCCTTGCACATGGCTGACTTGGGTTCAATCCCTGACATCCCATAGGGTTCCGAATCTGCCAGGAGTGATTCCTGACTGCAGATCTGGGACTACCCACTGAGCAAAACCAGGTGTAACCCCAAAACAAAACAAAACGTTACTTTTGTCCAAGGATTTTGAGATCCATTGAAATTTGGGAGTGGGAGAATGAAGGGGGGGGGATTTGGTTGTGTAATGCTGAATGGTTGTGCACAGGATGAATCACGATCACGATCACGACCATCCTGTTATTCAATTGCCTCGAGCAGATCCCAGTAACGTCTCCTTTGTCCTAGCCCTGAGATTTTTTAAAAAGTGCCATATTCAAGGCTCTTTCAGAGTTAGGAGAATGAGACCCATCATTGTTACTGGTATTTGGCATATTGGGTACGCCACGGGGAGTTTGCCAGACTCTGCCATGTGGGCAGGTTACATTCGGTAGCCTGCCAGTTTGTCCAAAGTAGGAATGAGATAATAAGATGTCATAAGAAGATATCGTGCAGCCGCGAATGCGGCCGAGCGGTTCCGGGAGCTGGGTTTTATAGGATGAATAGGATCAATAATGGCACTTTTAGTGTAGCATGGAAAGTTTGGGCCAGAGATACAGTTCAACAGCTATGGCACAATGCCTTGTACACAGCTGAGCCAGATCGATCCCCAGCTCCATGTATGATCCTCTGAGCACCACCAGGAATAATTTTTAAGAACAGAACCAGGAGTAAGGCCAGATTGCCACTTGACACGGCCATAGCTCTAAACAAACAAACAAACAAAAGGGTTTGCTGTGCCTTTAACAAAGCTTGAGAAAGGAAATATTTGAATATCACAGTGAAAGCCTAAATTCCATTAGTCAAAGATATATAAAAACAACTATACCTTTAAATTTATGAATTAAAAAAGACATGAATATGTCAGGCATTTAAGTATGTTTGTTTCAGAGAAATTCTTAGGATAGCCTTCCAGAAGAAAGGTTCAGCTTGTTTCTGCTGAAGGACACCTGGTAGACTCTTAGAATGCATTCGTGACTAATGTGTTTCACAAATTTATGTTCATCTATAAATAAAAATAATTCATGCTTCATAGAATGAAAAAAATCATCAATCAAGGCATTGAAATTAAAGGAGTTCAGATGTTTCAGGTTTTACTGGAAGGGTCTAAGCCTCAGAGAGATCAACAGATCCATTTTGAGTCTTAAAATGAGATTCCATGAGTTATCTTCTAGTTCCTTCTAATTCCCTGAGGTCTCAAGACCTTCAGTCCAGTGTTGACTAAGTTAAACTGCATTGAAATCAACAAATAATAGCTTGAGGCACTGATCTCTCAAAACACAGATATGATGACCATGTCACTCTCTAGACTGGAACTCCTCAGATCTCCCCAAATTGCCAGAAAAGATTCAGATTCATCCTGCAGCTGATATGGCCAGGGCAGATGTGAGTCCTTTTTGACAATAATCTCTATTTTTTCCTTTTTTATTGATTTATATGAAACACTACACATTTGGATGTATGAAAAATTGAGGGTACTTTTTAACATACCTTTTATTGTTTTCCTAGGACACTCTTTACCTCTTTATCAAGCTAACTCTTCTCAGCCTTTCAATTTAGCTCTTGCTTTGTTAGACATTCTTGGGGTCCTCTCTGAATTTCCCCTTCAGAGTGCCTACCACTACATTTCACATGTTTATTGGTTTATCTGACCTTTATTAGATTGTGAAATTTTTTCACCCTGACCTTCATAAGCTTGGAACATATAAATCTATAAAGATGATTTATAATGAAAGGAGAAAGTTCATTGAAAGCAGAATTGGTCATGTTTCTCTCTTTTTCTCCTTAGTAAATGTTGTATTTTGATATTATTCCTTTTGCCCCAAACACCTTCACAAATACATTCCCTGTCCTTTAATCACTCTACCACAGGATCTTTGGAATCCTATCCAAAGTCTGGCTATTGGGGTTATAGTTACAATTGTGCCCTCTTGTGGTACAGTTCTGAAAAGTGTCAGACAGTGGGGTAGAGGTTGGATTTTTCAGGACCCGCTTTCTCTTCAGCTTGGAGTTTAGAGCTTCTCTGCTTTGATTTTTTTTTTTTTTTAATTTCTGAACTGAGGAAAACAATACTTTGTAGGTCTGGAGTAAGAAATAAGATCATCCACGAAAAGTTCCTGACCTCATGTATGATGTTTGGTTATGATGAAATGCTCACTATTTTTGTTTTCAGTGGAGTTCCATCCAGATCTCTATAGAAAAAATAGAATTTAGAGTTCACTTTTTTGATAAAAAATTTACGAATACATTTTATTTTTATGTCCATATTTTACTTTTGGCATTTAATATTTAGCACGAATGAAAACAAATTTCCATTTAAAAGGTTTTGATAAGCATCATTTCCAGCTTTCTTGAACTTCAATTAAGTAAGGGTAGGTGCTTTAGGACCTTTGCTTGCACCTGATGGCATGAACACTAGAGAGGGAATGAAACTTTTAATGTCAGATTAGGGAATTTCAGCATTGACTGGCTGCATAGCAAAGCACACACAGAGGGGATTCATTCCAATATCTGGATTCTTGCATCTTGGGGGCTGTAGAGATAGTACAGTAGGTCCCGCGTTTGCCTTGCATGCAGCTGACTTTGGTTCAATCCCTAGCACATGGTCCCCTTGATCCCTTCAAGGATTGATCCCTGAGTGCAGAGCCAGGAATAAGCTCTGATCCCTGCTGAGTGTGGCCCAAACAAACAAACAAACAAACAAACTAAGGGATCAAAACCTTGCATCTTGGCTTGGAATGGCAGCTCAGGGGTTTACTTGTTCCCAATTCCCTTCTTTGTGGAGGAAAACAGAATGCATACGGATTAGCCTGCTTGTAATGAGCCGGACAAGTAGAGGCACGCCTGTCCCAGAATTGAATCTTATGTAAATAATCTGTTTTTCTATCTCCTCAGACAGCTCAGCTCTGTCAAGCCAACGGAATAGTTTCCCAACTTCCTTTTGGACCAGCTCTTACCAGACTCCACCTGCACCTTGTCTAGGGGGAGTTCATGCTGACTTCCAGGTCACTGCCCCCGCTGGTACCTTTACTGCAGCTGACCCCAGTCCCTGGCCAGGACACGGCCTCCATCAGACTGGTCCAGCCCCACCCCCTCCAGTTTCCGAATCCTGGCACTATCCTTTGGCATCTCAGGTGAGCCCATCCTACAACCACATGCACGACGTGTACATGAGACACCACCACCCCCACGCCCACATGCACCACCGCCACCATCACCATCACCATCACCACCATCCTTCTGCTGGCTCCGCCCTGGATCCTTCCTACGGGCCCCTGCTGATGCCGTCCGTGCGTACAGCCAGGATTCCTGCTGCCCAGTGTGACATCGCAAAGACAGATCCGACTACAGTGACCACTGCTACCTCAGCGTGGGCAGGAGCCTTGCACGGAACTGTGGATATAGTGCCAAGTGTGGGCTTTGAAGCAGGTGAGTCGGGGGCTTCCGCCATAAAGAGGAGAAGTTAACAGATAGATACAGATAGTCAAGATATCTTCATGACTTTGAAATATTTGCTGTTCTTGTATGAAAACTCCCGCTTTGCCTGTATGTTTCTAGAACCCGGCCACTTTGCAAACATTTCTGCATTCCTCTTGAAGCTAGTAGGGCTAGCTCATGAAATACGGTTTGGGAAGGATTGTGAATTTTTTTCTCCCACTTTTTAAAGCTATTGATCTGGTTTGTAGAACTGGAATCTCTAGTATCATGAAGATTTTACAAGGACTTGGGGAACTGAGCACATTAAAAAAAAAAAAAAGTAAAAAAGTATTCCACGCCTCCGTGCTCTACATGTAATGAATGACTAATAGAATCGAGAATTAGTATATTTCAGTATATTATTCATTTTGTTAAATATTCTTTATGATTTATAAAGCAAACTTTTGGAATTTAGTTCACGGTCCACTGTTTTTGGTAGATGTAGCTATTTATTTTTAAAATTTATTAATGTTTATTTAGGTACCTGAAAATCACTAAGTTTTTATGATTGGGTTTCGGGAATATAATGTTTCGACAACAATCCCTTAATCAGTTCCCACTTCCCTTCACCAAAGTACCCCACCTTTGCTTCCCACCCACCAATCTGCTTCTACTTGAGGTGAATTTTATCAACTATGTTTTTGTGATGTGATTTACAGTACTGCTACTGATAGGGTTTGATACATACACTGTTCCATTTTTTTTAGTACCACTTCTTCCTCCTGCTGAATGCTTCTCTTCAACATAGATTTTTTTCCCTCTTTGAGAAGAAAAAAGGAGTGGATTTAAAGAAATTAATTTCTGTTATCTCCTATTCTCTTCTATGTGCCCTCATTTTTTATCTTCTTTCCTTCCTTCCCTCCTTCCTGCTACTTTTTAACATGACATAATTATGCCTAAGGGTTCTACTTAATAGTTCTACAGTTAGGTCTTGGAATTTAACATTAAACTTTTGGGGACACATTCAGTCTATAATTTCATCTCTGTATTCTGTAATGTGAAGTGTGAAATATCTGTGATATGGCCTTGTTATTTAATACCTAATTTTGTACTTGTTGCCTTCAGTGTGAGGCTTTATTCTTGGCTCATTGTTCAGAAAGTAATCTTGAACTAGTCTTTCTAGATTTAAAAGTCATTCTTTTATGGAAGTATAGCAGACAGGGATTTGTTCTCTGAATCTGAAGAGGTCCTTTTAGGTATAATTGTATAATAGTCCTTAATAATTTCTGATCTATGCATTATAATCTTATTGTGATATAATAGAATGTTACAATATAGTATAACATATTGTGACAGATACTTTATTGCTTTGAATTTTTCAGCTAAATATGAGATAGATCTTAGATTTATTTTCAAATAAGACAACAGGATCAAATTTTCTCTTTATAAATTCCCCTGATAGATTTTGGTCTATGATCTACTTCAATCTAATGAATAACTGGGGGAGCATCTCCCTGTGTATATAGGCAGAATACTAAATAAGACCATTAAATTGAACAGTTAAGGATTAATAATGAGGAAAGAAGACTTGTCTCTTGTTTGTGTGAGTGATGGTCTATTAGCACACTTTAGGATAATGGCCTAATTCTTTCCTGTCCTGTAACTTTGATCCATATGAAGAAACAAAGGTAAATCAATCAAGCAGATAAAGATCAAATTAGTAGCTTATTCATTTATAATTTTATTAATTAGACAGCCTTGATTAGGTCTGTTACTTCAATTAGATTCCCTAATATCTTTGGCTAAATTTAGAATTTGGGAGCTCCAAACGTGAAATCTAGTTTAATCGAAATAGATTTTTATAGATATCTTTGTTACATAGATTGAGCTAAAAAAACTATGAAAATGAGCCAGAGAAATAGCATAAGTTTTAAGTTGCTTGCCTGGTATAGAGCCAAGCCAGGTTCTATCTCTAGCACTGCATATGGTCCCACAGCAGTGCCAGGAGTAACCACTGGGCAAGAAATTTCACAATGTTTGGGGATAACCAAAGTTTTATGAATGCCATAGGGAGCTCTGAAACTGGATTGGCCCTTCTGATATCTAGGTGAATGGGCTCTTATATTCTTGCAGGAAACTGATATAGATTTACCTGAAATAGAGCATCATTTTAGTCAGGAGGCTTTTTTTCCCCTATAAGAAATTTGAAAATGGCAAAATTATGGACTAACAACACGAGAATTAATGCCTGAAGATGGATTCACTTTGTTAGCCCATCACAGATTTCAAAAGGGTTGTAACTAATAAAGGGTGACACATTTCCATAAATTCAACATAGTGGGCTTACTGGTTGGAGTGATAGCACAGCGGGTGGGTGTTTGCCTGGCATGTGGCTGACCAGGGTTCGATTCCTCCACCCCTCTCGGAGAGCCCTGCAAGCTACTGAGAGTATCTCACCAGCATGACAAAGCCTGGCAAGCTACCCGTGACGTATTCGATATGCCAAATACAGGCACAACAAGTCTCACAATTTGTTGTGAGTCGTTTCTTGTGCCGCTTGAGCAAAATTGATGAACAACAGGAGGATAGTGAGAGTGACTGGGCTTACTAGTAATCATTAATGGTGATTGTTGGAAAGAATGAGAAATTGGTTATTCTGTACAATCTGTGCAACATGAAATTGACCATTGTGACCAGATACATGAGTCAACTCAGGCTTGCATGTCATTTCTGGGTCACTACTGAGCAATTAAAGGAAGAGTCTATTCAGATGACAAGCATGACTATTTTCAGTCAAGGTGCTTAGGCCACTAAAATGTTTACTTCTACTAGAAATTATTTCAATCACTTTGAGAGCAGTGTGATAAAGGATTTTTTTTTTCCTCGGTAGAGCAATGATTTAACATAATTTTAGATCCATTTTTATTTTGAGTCGTTAGAGAAATTTAGGAAATCAGTAGAAAATCTGGAAAGTTGAACATTTGATGATAACTAGTGACCATACAAAGCATTTAAATAATATATATGTCATAATCCAGATATTGACAATTTGCTTCTATAAAGGAGAAGAGATAAATATTGTATATCTTGTGGAGTCATATTGTCTCTGCTGTAACTTCTCAGTTGGAATGGGCAAAGATAAAACTCATGTTTTTGAGAAAACAGAGATGAACTAAATTAAACAAAAGTGAACTTTTGGACTATGAAACCAGTCAGGAGTTATCAGAAGGGAAAGTGAAGTGTAAATTGAGACAAAGAGGAAAAATTATGCTGAAAGAGAGAATTAGAGTTGTAATGGTGAACTGAGTGTAGGATACACTTATGTTGATTTTCAGGGATGCATGCCTGAAATGTATGTTTTTGTAATGCGATTTTACTTCAGTTTTAGAAGGGAAAAATATATAAATTTACTTTTCCATTCTTAGATTATGCACTATATATAAAGAGAATTCTGGGATTTGTCAAGGCTATAGACTGGAGTTTTTGACACTTATCATAATAGTTGTACATAATTTTTCTACATAAACTCATTCATACATATATACAACTGCTCTCCATTAGTGATTTGATTATCTCTATGTACTTCTTGTTTGTAAGTTTATTATTTTTGGTAATTACAGGAAAAAAGCTTCAAAGCCAGACTAAAGAGTTTTATAAGAACTCTAGATTGTCGTTTATTAGGTATGGGAGTTTAGAATCCAGGTCAGCCATGTCAGTCACTTGCAAGGCAAACGCCTTACCTGCTGTGCTATTGCTCCAGCCCCTGGCAAGCTACCGAGAGTATCTCACCCACACGGCAAAGTCTGGCAAGCATGATGTATTCAATATGCCAAAAACAGTAAGAATAAGTCTCACAATTTGTCGTGAGATGTTACTGATGCCCGCTCGAGCAAATCCATGAACAACAGGAGGACAGTGATAGTGCTAGGGAGTTTAGAAAAATCAGTTATTCCTCTCAGTAGTTCAGTTATTTGTGTTTTAAGAGATGCTTTAGTGGGTGGCTTTTGGGAATTAAAATTAAGAAAGTTAACTGCATGAATTAATGAAGCAAATTAATTACAAATGTGTCATGCACATATAGGTAAAAGGTAAAGGTAAAGGCCCTCCCGTTGTTCATCGATTTGCTCGAGCGGGCCCAGTAACATCTCCATTGGAGATTTTGTTGTTACTGTGTCTGGCATATCGAATACATCACAGGTGGCTTTCCAGGCTCTGCCGTGTGGGCGAGATACTCTTAGTAGCTTGCTGGGCTCTCCGAGAGGGGCGGAGGAATTGAACTCGGGTAGGCCATGTTGGCTGCGTGCAAGGCAAACGCCCTACCGCTGTGCTATCGCTCATGGCAGATCTAGGTAATTTATAAATTACAGCTCTGTAAATAAAGGTAGAACAGATCCTTTCTATTTTTACTTTAAAATGTATTCCTGAGTTTTATTTAAGATAACAGACATTTCACTCACTGATTTAAAATGTTCTCAGTGATTTTATTGTGTTCATGATATTGTGTAACCAATCTCAGGATTTTGTTCCATGGCCTTTATATCACCTCAACAGAAATTTTGTTTCTTTTGGACTCATTCATTCTCCTGCTAGTATGCAACCTTGATTTCAATTAACTTGGTTATATATCACTTTCAGTTTTATGCTATTCAATATGCTTTCAAGGGACATTAGCAATATCTTCAATTTAGAAAAATATCTATGAATTTAGCAATAAAATTATGGGCTCTGATTGGTTAGGCAAAAATCGTTGAATTGATGGGGGCTGGAGCAATAGCACAGCAGGTTGTGAGTTTGCCTTGCACGCAGTCAACCCGGGTTCGATTCCCAGCATCCCATATGGTCCCCTGAGCACCTCCAGGAGTAATTCCTGAGTGCAAAGCCAGGAGTAACCCCTGTGCATTGCCGGGTGTGACCTAAAAAGTCAAAACAAAAAAAAAGTCTTTGAATTTAGATAATCTTTATTTTATGAAAAAAACCATTAGTGGGTGAGAACAGTGTGGTATCTTGAATAC